GAGGAGAGAGAGAAAGAGAGGGAGATAGATAGAGAGAGAGAGAGAAGAAAGAGGAAGAGGAGGGAAGATGGAGAGAGCAGGGAGGGGAAATCTGTTCTGACGTTTCTTGTTTTTGATTTGGCTTGCTTTTTCCTGATGCCACAACTGCCCACCCAGCTACCCTACCACCATTGGAGCCCCCTCGGTTGCCCCTCAGCGTTTCCTCCAATCTTTTTTGACATTCCTCAATCCTTTTTAACTTTTTATTATTTTTGGCTTCTTTGCCCTCATGCTGTTCCTCTGTCCCAGGCTCTCTGGGATCTTTTGGCACACAAGTGCCTGAAGTCTGCTTTGACAGCCTTCCAAGGAATCTCAAGCTTCCCTTTTGGAAGAATGAGTGAAGGGTTCATAATGGCCTTTATGTATTTATTGACTTGGTTCCACTGGCTTGGGCCAGAACCTCTGGTTTGATTTGAGTCTGCAGTAGGAGTTCTTATATAGGTCATCTGGGATTTCTGCCCATCAAGTGTAGAAGAGAGTCCTGAGGCTACCGAGTGGTTCTTACCTGAGCTTGGTGATTGCTGTGATCACACCCAGCCCTCAGTGATTTCCTTCGTCTCTGAACTCCCATAGCATACATACATACAGTTGGCAAAACTTGATTTGGCTCCTTGTACCAGTCAGCTTACAAATTCCCTCAGTATCTAAGTGTCCCTCACTATGCTAAGCACTCTGGGGTATATTCAATTCAACAATTCAATTTAACAAGAATTTTTTAAAGCAGGTACTATGTACCAGGCCCTGTGATAGGCGCTAGGGGTACAAAGATAAAACATGGAACAGTTCTTGTCCTCAGGGAGCTTATATTCTACAGAGAGGGAATATAAAAGGAGTGTCCAAAAATAGGCTCTCAGGGTTAGAAAGTGCCTTGGAGGCCCTTTAGTCCAACTAGCACTTGAACAAGAATCTTCTCTCCAATGTACAAAACAAGTGATCTTCGTCTGAAGACATCTCCGGAGATTGTTTCCCAAAGTAGTTGGTGCTGCTTTGGGATAGCTCTAACAGTTAGAAAGCTCTTTGTTCATCTTCTCTATATACATAAAGCCTAAGTTTTCCTCTTTGCTACTTTAATTCACCAAACAGACTAAACTTGATTCTTTCCCTACACGACAATTCTTCAAATTACTCAGAGGGCAGCTATCGTGCCCTGACCAGGGCTTCAGAACTCCCCCAGGCTACACCTTGCCAGATGTTTCACTCATTGTTCATACGGTATGCTCTCAAAGTCTTTCCTCAGCCTGGTTGCCCTTTTTATCTATTTTGACCAAATTATCAATGTTCTCCCTGAAGTCAGGCACCCAGAACTGATCCCAGTAGTTTCAATGTGGCCTGACAGATATAGAGGAAAATGGGGCCATCACCTCCCTAGTCCTGGACACTCTGCTTCTCTTAACACAGCCTGAGAGTGAATTAACTCTTCCAGTGCACCCTCATGCTATTGACTCATTGAGCAATGCAATCCACTAAAACCCACAGATATTTTCTAAATGAACAGCCATTTAGCCTTTCTTCTTCCATATTTGACTTAGGTAATTGATTTTTTAACCCAAATGGACAATAACAGTAATAGCTATTTGTCATCTAGGTGGTACAATGGATAAAGCTGAAGACCTGGGGTCAGGAAGGTGAGTGTGTGACTAGCTGTGGACTTAATCTCTGTTGACCTGTTTTCCTTAACTGTAAAATAGGGCAGCTAGGTGGTGTAGTGGATAGAGTGCCAGACCTGGACTCAGGAAGACTCATCTTCCTGAGTGCAAATCCAGCCTCAGACACTTACTAGCTGTTTGACCCTGGATGAGTCACTAAACCCTGTTTGCCTCCATTTCCTCATCTGTAAAATGGGGATAATAATACCACCTGTCCCACAGGATTGTTGTGAGGCTCAAATGAGAGAACAGCGGTAAAGTTCTTTGCAAAACTTAAAGCCATACTTACTAGCTATGTGACCCTGGGCAAGTCACTTAACCCCATTGCCTAGCCAAAGCAAAGCAAAACAAAACAAAAAACCCCAAAACCCCCAAAACTTAAAGCTAGCATATGTAAATGCTAGCTATTAATCTGTTGAAGATAGGTAGACTAGCTTGGAGGGAGAGGACAACAGAGGCTAAATGACCAGTTAGAATGTCTTTTCATCATTTTAGCTCTGAGCCTTGGTCCACGTAAAAGGAAGGAACACCTAAAGTAGTAGTGATGGAAATGGCCAGTTGGGAAGAAGCCATATGTCCTTTGGACAAGGCATTGTAGTTGTATTAGAAATCAACAGCAGGGAAATAAACATACCCCTGGGAATACAGAGAAGTCCTCATCAGGAAGTTTCAGATATGCAACAAATAGTCATTCTTGTTCAGTTGTTTCAGTCATATCTGATTCTTAGTGATCCCATTTGGGGTTTTCTTTAGTAAAGGTATTAGAATGGTTTTTGCCATTTCCTTCTCCAGCTTATTTGACAGATGAGGAAACTGAGGCAAACAGCATTAGCCCAGGGTCACAGAACTAGGAAGTGTCTGAGGCTGGATTTGAGCTCAGGTCTTCCTGACTCCAGGCCCAGGCCCCTATCCACTGCGCCTTCTAGCTGCTGCTATTGGCTAATTTCCCCTTCATATCTTCTCTGTGTGAATCTATTTGCCAGTCCAGACAGCTATGAAAAATGGTGCTTCTGTGACCACCATGAAAATATATGTAGGACACACTCAAGGGGCATCTTCTGTGGGGGAGAAAAAAGTGCTATGGTGAGTCACAAAGATCTTACACAAAATGAAAGGAACCAAGGATCACCACAACGACCTTTGTGTTAGGAACCCTTTTCTAGAACCACACAAGACACTGCAAATGAAGCCAATCTAGTTTAGTTAACAGCAATGACTTATGGCCACCATGGCCCATCCTAAAATAATCCATAGTTATTGACCATCCCCCAAACCTCAGATTGGCCACTAGGGGCTTCCAAGAATCCATTCTGTGGCCAGTTGGCTCCAAGTCTTCACAGAACCAAGGTCATCATTGTGAACAACCAGGTGCTATGCAAGAAAAGACTGGTGCTTCAGGAACTCAACATTACTTGAAGAAGATAAGAGAAGCACAGATTTCTATGAAACAAGGAAGTACTTCATGGCAAAGTGAATAGAGGGTTAGACTGTGCATTAGAAAGATGTGAATTCAAATTCTACTAACACTTAATAGCTATGAGATCATGAGTAAAGCACTTACCTCCTCAGAGACTATGATTATTATGAAGATCAAAAGAGATAATGTTTAAATAGAGCTTTGCAAATCTTAAAGTACTACATAAACACCAGCTCTTATTATGATTATCATCATTTTTATTAGGCAAGTCTCTTATGAGAGATCAAGGCAATGAGTATTGGTTTAGAGCAATGAGGGATTACTTCCAACTGAGGATGGAAATCATGCCTTATACTTTGCTAATGTCCCATGATGAGCCAAGTTCAAAGTTTAGCACATGCTAGCAGGCTGTAAATAAATACTTGTTGACTTGAAAAAAAATACTTGTTGACTGAAAATAAATTCTGGGGAAACAGAGACACATAGACAGGAACTGATGCAAAGTGAAGTAAGCAGAGTCAAGTAAACAGTATACACAGTAATTTCAACAATGTAAACAAAACAATAATAAAACAATTGAAAATGAATGTTGCAAAATTACAAAGAACAAACAAAGAGACACAGAAGACACCTCCCCCTACTCCTCCACAGAAGCCGGGTTGGGGTTCTCCAGGTGTGGAACATTGCAGATAATGTCAGATTTTTCTCCATTTATTGATTATTTTGTTGAATTGATTTCTCTTCCTCTTTTCATTCTTTTTTAAAATTGTTTGTCATATAGGATGGCTCGCTGGAAGGGTGAGGGAGATGGATATATGGGAAATGTAGGTGATGTAAAACAAGGATGTTGATAAAAATCTATTTTAAAAAAAAGAACATAAATTCTGGACAAAACAAGGAAATATAATACTAGCTCAAATTGGCAGAGTGCTTTAAGGTTTACAAAGTACTGACCTAACCATAGGGGTCCAAAGTCAATTTTGTAAACATTATCCTCATTTTATAGATAAATGAACTGGGGCTCAGAGAGTGACTTACCAACGTCACATAAACAAATATGTATCAGAGCCCATATGCAAACTCCAAGTTGAGTGTTTTGTCCACAATATCCCACTTCCTCCCAAGACATGCAGTAAGAGATAAATGAAAGTTTCTATCAGAGAAGTTTCTAAACATCAAACTTCCCATCAAGACCATTTGGCCAGGGCTCCCTTTTAAATGAAATTATCCATTCACCTCTGGAGCATAGTGAGATGATTCTTGGTTCCATGCATCAGTAGGGTTTAGGGTTTCTTCTGGATGGGTTTTGCTTTTGTTTTTCTGTGCCCCCCCATATATGTACCCAGCCAGAGAGATGAATATGGTGGAGTGAGTTGAGCTTTGGTCAGGGGTTTTAAAATCTAGAGGACCTAACAGCAGGCCTGTCCTTCAGTAGAGTGGAAACAATTAAGTTTAGCATCTAGCTAGCAAAAAATAATTAGTTAAAACAGTAACCCACCAGATGGTGGCTTGCTCCCTCTGAAAGCCACCCCTCCAGTGAGGGCCTCTGCAGCTTGGCTATCCCCTACTCTTCATCCTCTCCCATCCCCCTCACCACCATGGTAGTAGGTCTCAGGCTTTCCCCAGAACTAAATTGAAAATGCATTGTGTGGTACACACCATAGGCAAATTTTGTGGTTTGTCCCAAGGGGAGAAATGCTCATTACAGCTCTTCAATCAACCCACTTCTATTCTGCTTTGGAAAAAAAAAAAGTTTCCTGATTTCCAGATTTTTGAATCTTTCTGAGTGTGGCCTCTTTAATTAAAGCTCCTACAACCTTGAAATCGGCGAGCATCTGGGGGCACTGGGCACTCGTCAGTGGCTCAGCCTGTTGTTTTTGTTTCTTGCGCATTCAAAGTGTCACTGGGGGCCAGCTTTTGGCATGTGCCACCTTCTCTGTCTGTGGCTTCTCCTCTCTCCAAGCCCTGTTGCAGCCCATCAGTCAGTCCAGCAAAATTAAGCTCAGAGAAGCTTATCTCTTCCAAGGGCACATGCTCTTATTATTGAAGCAGACAGTGGCAACGTCGAGAAATCCCTCCGTTGGGAGGATTGCTGTGGGATGAACATCTTTCCAGCTCAATAGGCATTTGTAGTGTCTCTGCGTGTATAATTTCCAGGACAGAAAGAACAGCTGTATCACGTGTGATAAGTGCCCTGATCTCTGAGCTCCAGAGAGACCTTCTTAATGCGTAGTTTATGATCTTTCCCCCAAAACTCATCCCTCTCTCAAACGTCCTGATTTCTGTCAAAGGCGCACTGTTCTTTGGTGTCCCAGGATCATAACCTCGGCGTCATCCTTGACTGGTCCCTCCCAATCAGCTCACATATTTAACCACTCGCTACATCTTGTCATTTTGACCTCTCCATTATCTCTCACATCCAGTTTCTTCTCTCTACTCACATGGCCACACCAGGGTCTCATCATCTTTCTCACCTAGCTTATTGCAACAGACTCTTCATTGGTCTTCCTGCCACAATTTTCTCTCCACTCCAGCCCATCCCCCAGATGTAAGCCAAAGTAATTTTCTGATCATGTCACTCCCCTACTCAAAAACATTCCAGCGGCTCCCTATTCGATCGTAAAACGTGGGAGGCAGATGTAAGATAATGCTGAAAAGACAGGTTTCAAAGACCCCTTCACTATCCTATCTCCAACCTGTCTTTAGTCTCCTTGTATATTATTCCACCTCCTATTTTCTGTGCTAGAACTAAAATGACCTTTTTTCTGTTTCTCCTACACAGCATCTCATCTCTTGTCTCCAAGTCTTTGCTCTGACTGGCTGCCCCCCACACCTAAAACGCATCCCTTCCTCACCGCTGCCTCATAGAAACTTTCTTTTTCTCCAAGACACAGCTCAAGCACCATGTTCGCCATGAAGCTATTTCCAGGCCCCCAACTGCTACTCCCCTCTTCCCAAATACCATTGCATTGAGCGTGTGTATTTATTCCCTTTGTATTTATTCTTTACATGCTTATAGCTTGTCTTTGCCATTAGAATATAACCTTCCTGAGGGTAGAGATTGTTTGATTCTTTGTATTCCCAGTACCTGGCCCAGTGCCGGACCTGACACTTAAAGTCTTTTCAGTTGGATTGATTGATTGAGAAGGGAGAGAAGGAGCTGGAGAACATAGATGATTGGTTGACTGGGGCTCAGTTATTTCTGGGCAGTCATGTTGGGTGAGTTCACAGGTAAGTCATTTCTTGCCTCCCATTTCCTTACCCATTTCTGGGCAGCTGGGTAAAAGAAGCTGGGGAGAAAGAATTGATGTCTATGTAACACTGACCCCTCTGACACTCACTGCCTGGAAGGCCAGGTGGGTTAAATGTCACCCCTCCCCCTCAGGTATCCTTAAAGGGAGTTGGGGGAGGGTCTAGGCTCTCTGCAAATGGCCCCAGCCCCTCCAAGATTGTGTTCCCCGAAATGTGAAGTGGGGAGTTGTCTGCCCTCAAGTTCCATTTAGCCACTAACGGTTGACTTAGCTTTTATAAAGGAATATTTACTTCAAAAGGTAGAATCACAAATATATGGACATATTCTCCCAATATATGGGAGGCATAATCCCTCTTCTGCCTTTTACCAGTGGAGAGGGAAAGGGGATTAGGTCCATAGCTAAGCTTGGTTCCTGTAGAGTCAGTCCCAGTTTCAAGTTCAAAACTCACTTTGGGCTCAAGTCACAGGGTTCTTGGCTATTCTCAGCGCCTCTCTACCCGGCCCAGGCCACCTGGAATTCTGGCTCCAAGGTCATCATGACTCTAACTCCTGAGTCGGTGAGGATTACTGTTGGCACCTGAAACAGAGAAAGACAAATGAGAGGCCAAAAGCAAAATCCCCTGGTCCTGATTCTCCAAGCCTACTTCTCAGAACCACGGAGCCAAGAAAGTCCTTTCCCTCCCCACAGTTCAGTTCATGATGCCCATGCTATGGGTGAAGTGGGATCTTCACCCTCTGGTTGCAATGGAAGGAATATTTGGAAAAAAGAGAGACTGTCCTAGCCTGGCCAGTTTTAAAGACTCTGGCCTTTCTGGCTAGACAACCAGTCAGAGGAGGCTACCCTTACCCACCATGTGGTAGGGGGCAGAGAGAGCCTCTGCGTTAAGCCATCTGGGCATGCCCACCTAAGTCCTATTATAACTTGCTGGCAAAGTTTGCAAAATGGGTGTGCTTTCCCGGCTAAGGTGGTCGATGAATCGTTCAGACACACAGCCACCTAAGCTGGGAAGGTCCTTAGAGACTACCCTATCCAATCTTTCTCATTTTGTTTCATTCTTTCAACTTGCACCAAGCACAGTGCCTGGCACAAAGAAAATCCTTAATAATACTTGCTGACTGATTGACTTTACAGAAGAGGAAGCTCAGACCCGAAAAAGGGAAATGGTTTGAATAGGTCTAAAAGTAAGCTCTCAGAAAGCAAAGCTGGAACCCAAGTGTCCTAACCCCCACACCAGGGCTTTTCCTACCAAAACATGTTATCTTCTTTTGCAAAAAAAAAAAAAAAAAAAAAAAAAGGTTAACGGCTATAGTCCCTGAGCTTAGCATTTCCTGATCAGGAAGGGTTAAGTGAGTTCTATTGTGATCATGCCTGTCTCTTCTTCCCTTGTGACAAGCCTTGTCCCTTTTTTTTTTTCCTCTTTGATGGATGGTTTCTTCATTCAAGGATTTTTCCATTGTTATAAGTTAAATCGTTTCTTAAAAGTGAGTGTAATACCCCTGCTTAGGAAATCGATGGGAAGGAAAGTGTGGCCTGCTATCCCATGGATTCTTTTTCTCTAAAAAGCATAAGAAACATGTGTTTTATAAATTAACACAGTTCAAAACAGTCTGACAGTTTCTTTTCTCTCTCTCTCTCTCTCTCTCTCTCTCTCTCTCTCTCTCTCTCTCT